CCACAGGGCATAAATCTGCAAAGAAGTAAAAAGCTAACCTTTGCAAACAATATGGCTTCTCTCTCACTTACCAACTTTACATTTCCCTGTATGGCCCCGGAAGATGACTGGTTAGCCAGAGACGGGTAAGATTCCTCAAGGGAGGAACAACCTAAGACAGGCACAGTCGCAGGGGGGCCATCAGGTGAGAATTTGGGGATCAACAGAGGTGAGGCTCAGAACCTCACCCCCCCTGCTTTGAGAGAAATCTTCTGCATCCGTGGATGTCTTGCTGCCCTTGTCTAGCCTGGATTAATACTTAGTCCATAGGCACACACCTGATCATCTGATCATCTACATTTGCCTTCTTACAGCACTAAACTATGTTTTCTACCTTTATCTTGCATCTACCTACCACTTCAGCATTTTATTAAAAATAAAAATAATAATAATAATAGGAGAAATGTGGGATCAACATATAAATCAAGTACAAAAATCAAATGAATATTCATATTTGACCTGATGGTTTATAGGTCATATTGCATGATCAAAACCGAAAGTTTCTGTGATGAATGCCCTTGTACTGTTCACCATGTAAGAATTTATTCACTATGTAAGAATTCGTTCACCATGTAAGAACTTGTTCGTTATGCTTCAGAAGATTGGAGACTGACGAGAATTAGGCTTGAGATGGATTAATGATTGTACATTGAGGACTGACCCCCCTCTACTGAATTTTATTGTTGTTAACAACCATTTGATCAATAAATATGAGAGATGCCCTCTCAAAAAAAAAAATAAATAAATAATGAGCAACTGTCCTGCCAGTGACAGAACCACTTTCATGGTTAGAAAGAAAGAACCTCTTTCTTTCTAAGCATTTAGAGATACAGGGGAGAAGGCAATGTGGGCCCTAAGCTGAAACATAAAAAGTAATCTCTAAGAAGTGCTGATTAGTGGCTGACAGTGCCCTCTAGCATTCTCCAAGCCTTAAAGCATGTAGTAAAAGTGTGTTTTTGTGAAAATAATGTAACATGTAGAAATAGGACCAAGGAAATGGTTTCTCCTAAGTCTTACACTACCTGCTCAGAAATCCCTAGAGTGTAATAATACATATTACAGAACCACACCCCAGACCCACTTCTGGATAAGATTCTCTAGAGCCTGGCCGAAAAGACTGATTTTAGCCCTTGGCAAGTCATTTACACACTGAAATTGAAGACATACTAGCCAGTGAGCCTCAACTTTGTTCCCAGATTATAACCATTTTTTTCCCTCAACTGTTATTACTTAGTCCTCTTAACATTCAAATCATAAAATTCATTAATTCATGCAATAAATATTTATATAGGGCCTAATTTGTGACAGCTCACTGTGCTAAGCAACTGGATATGCAAAGTCAAATTTCTTAGGAGCTCACAATCTCATGGTGACTAGACAGAGCTCAACAGATGGTCTCAGAGCATGAACCTGAGGGAGATAGATTCAGTTCTTTTATCAAACAATCAGTGAGCCAGATGGACATATATTACAGTAGCCAACTTATCTGTTTTTAGCTCACGAAATACAACAAAGCAAAATGGGCAGCTCAAAATTAGCTAACTTTATAAACAACTCCATTCAGCAGAATAAATTATAGTACACTGTTCTAAAGGTATCAAAGGTCAAGATTATCTGTTCGATCACTTTGTCTAGGACATGAGGCTGGAAAACACACATAAAACTGCATGAATATACATGAAATATTTATTCAAAAAATATTTTTGAGCGCCTGCTCAGGTACTGTTTAAAAGTGAAGAAAATAAATACTCTGGTAACTGACTGATCTGGATTTGGATCCCTGCTTTCTCACTTTGCAAATGTGTTATCCTGGGAAACTACTTAACCAGGGAGGATTTAAATGAGAAAATGTTATGAAGCACTTGGCCCAGTATATGGCAATAGCAAGTTTTTTTTAAGTATCAGTAATATGTATATGTTTATGTACATATATACATATTACTTAAGATTCAGCTTAAATGACATCTCAACAGCAAAAGTCCCTTACGTAAGACATTGAAATAGATTCTATATTTAGTTAATGTGATTTTTAATATTTAATAGTATTTAAACTTAACAGCAGGCTTTGTCTATCTCATTTACTGCTGTAGCACCAACATTTGGAACAGCATCTGGTACAATTTGGCAAATATATAAATCAACAAAAATATAAAAGAAAATATTAAGAATGATAGAAGAAATGTCCGGTGAGGGAAGTGGCAGATTATTTTTGCCCTTATTTATTTTTATCTTACTATAAAAATAAAATAATAAAGAAAATCTGGAAAATTCAGAAAATACAAAGAAAATTAGAATAACACAAAATTCAATCCACTATATATAACTAATATTCACCATCTACAAGTATATATGCAGAATCTAACAGTTTGGGAACTGTATTTTATATTTCTTTAAATCCTATTCTGTTTACTGTTACACATCATTAATGTTTTTCAAAATATAGTATTCTCTCATATATATATATGCTATAGCATTATATACAACTTCTCCAATTGTTAGGTTGCTTCAAATTTTTTGCTATATAAATAATGCTGTGATGCACATTATACAAATCACTGTAAGCACCTGTGATTATTTCTTTAGGATATATTCTAGAAGGAGAATTGTATATTTGGCTTCTTGAAACACATTGATAAACTGCTCTCTTAAAAAGTTAGTAATTGATATTTCCAAAGCACTGAAGCACTGTTAAGTATTCTTAGTAGGTGTTGGAAAGGAGCAACTTTCTAAACTTAGAAGCAATAAAAAGAATAACAAAGGAACACATGAAAGATAAAAACTAAAACTTTTAATATATACATAAGAATTCTTAGAAGTCAGCAAACAGGAAAATATTTGCAGTGAACACTGGGCTGACTAGTTGTATTTCTTCTTTTGTGAATCACCTATTAATAATCTTTATCCAGTTAGGGGAAAGTAATTTTCAGATTTTCTAATCAATCTCTATAAGTTCTTCCTATGAGGACACAAGAGAATTATCAGCTATTGCAGGCCATAAGCCATTAAGAACTTTAATATTTAATTCAATCAATCTTTACAACCAGTTTTTGAGCTAAAGGTTATTTTCCTCATTTCACTGGTTTCCTCACCTTTAGCTTTTCCAAGGTCAGGTCTTAAAAAATACTATTTTGAAGAGTTAAGGATAAGGCTAATATCACAGTCAACTGAGGCTATTTAACATGGACCATCTGCATTCAATTTCTGGCATTTTTCTTTTTTTTAATGGAATAATGCTTGTGTAAAAAAATATACTGTTATAATACTCAATGCTTATATAAAGGAAAATAATAGACAAAATAAGCAATTATTAGAGTTGGCTGCAAATGTGCTTGACAGATGTAAAATATGATAAAAGTTCATTTTGTTCTTGCCTTTCTCTAAAGAAGTATTTTAAGTTTATTCAATAATCCTAAATTGAGTTTTTTCATTAGAATTTCAGTTTAGCATTAGAATATAAGATGTAATTTTATTATGAAAAGAAATGACTAAAGGTATTTCTAAAGGATATTGGCTGTAAAATACTTGGAAAGGGTCTGGAGAATAACAGCCATAGAAGTGTTACCTACTATTACAATCATTATCTACACTATTATATGATTAAATATAATTTGCATCAACATACTTAAAAAAACTAAAAGATTAAGAGTAAGAGGAATCCCCACCTTTTCTTAAGGACTGGGACTTTAGACGGTTTAAATGATGACTTAGATTGGCAGTTAATTTTGTTAAGTGTGGCTGTTTAAAAATAAGTTTTATCAGTTAGCAACACATACTGAAGTAGTACAGGCGAAAAGGATATGATGATACCTGGAATTTGCTTCAAACTACTGGAGGAGTTCCAGGAGTTGGAAGAAAAGGGGAAAAGGAAATGAGAGAATAAATACGAATGGCAAAATGTTGATAATTACTGAGAATGAATGACAGGCATATAGGGATTAATTATATTACTGTCTCTACCTCTGTATTTGAAATTTTTCATAATGAAAAGAAAAAAAAGACCATTAATATTTTCTTAATAATAAGTGGTATTTATTTGTGGTTTTCCTTTAAAATATCTTATATATATCATACAAAGCTCCTACTCCAAATGCATAAGCATTCTATCTAGAATATGCTAAGAGCTAATAAACACTTGTAAAGGGAATGAGTGAATGGTGGAGACCCTTTCTCTTCAAAGACTTAGCACTAAATTTAGCTGTGCCAAAAGCCTTCTCAGAGTTAATACCAGTTATATTCATCTTAGGATGATTCTTTCATAATTTATGGTGGCTATGTGTACAGTCAAGAACATAAATCCATTATATTTAAAATAATATAAATCTACATATACAAATAATTCTGAGTTAGGAAGAATCAAACTTTTAAAGAATGAAATAAATCCTTTAATATATATAAACTCTGGAACAGTGCGGCTTTATGTAATTCTTTCCCAAAAAGTTATATAAAACATCAAGAACATGCTTAGGTTTTAAGACTAGAGTGATTTAAAAATGACTCAATAGAAACTAATATGGAAAAAAATAAAATCAGGAGAAAATCTATAGACCTTTATTATAAAACACCTCCTTATTCTGATGAACCAGGGGGAAATCATGCCTGCCTGTTTTATACTAACTGCACACAGTGAGAGATTAGAAACCTGGTTCACTTACCAGCCTCATCACTTAACATGGTATTTAAAACAAAAGAATACAAAATACTGAAATACAGACAACTATGCATACAATCACTATATGTGAAAAAGAGACTTAACCTCCACAGGTCTAGGAGAAGCAGAAAAATAAAAACCAAAGACCCCCAAACCAAGCTAACAGAACACTCCAAAACATCACTAGATCCTACCATTTCACATTCCAATGGTTAAACATTTTTTGAAAGTTTTGCACCATTTCCCTCCAATAAATGAGTCAGCACTCAAAAAAATCTTAAATCAGGAAGCACCCTGAGAGAACAATACTTACAAAGTTTTTGAGATGCAAGTTGTATTGATTGACCCCATAGTTTTCTATCTTGATTTCTGAGACTATCATTGATGAAATGAACTGCAGGTATAGCTTTATGCTGGGCACATTTTAGTAGTTTTCCATCCTTCATACGATCTAGCTCTTGCACAACCACCCAGGGAATTATTAACACAAGGCTGTCGTAGCCTAAAAACCAAAAAGATTTCTTAGAAGTCAACAAACATTATTGAGCTACTAAATTGAACTACTATAGGAGAACAGAAAGTTTTAAAGTGAGGAATTCACAATCTAAATGAAAAAATAATCCAAAAAAATGGAAATAAAAGTTTTAAGTGCCTAAGAAAGTTACAAAATAAAGTGCTTTTGAAAAAAAATACAGTGATTTTAGAAATCACAGAGTAAGTTGTGATTGCTAGATTAACCTATGAAGATCTTTTTTTTCACTTAAGCTGATGCTAGCATTTATATATATATTAAGTACATATAGCATATCCAAATGGAAATGTGTTTGTGGGAAAAAATCTCACATTGCTATTAATATAAAATATCAACTCAAGTAAGAAAATCTGAATGAATAATTATATTTTATAAGTAAGTACCTGGGATTTCTGTTTTCTTCAAAACTCTAACAAATTTGAAATGATTCATCAGAATATTTGTGTCAATAACAATTAGAAGCTTTTTGTCTGAAGCAGTATTTGCTAGAGAAAAGAGCAAAGTTAGTATTTCATAAGACTTGGTAATAGATTTGCATAGTAACTAAAATTTTGATACCATTCTTAAGAGATAGTACTACTTAAGACATCAAAAACAAAAATGCATTTACTCTCATTCTTAAAAGGAAGAACAATAATCAATTATCTACCAGTAGAACATTATGAACTGCTTATGGGTGGAGTTTAAGTCATAGACTGACTTGCCCCAATAGTTGTCAAACCCTGACTTGCATCAGTGGTAGTTATGCACTTAGGAATTTTAAGCTAATTTTAATATACTCTGAGTGAAATACAAGTGAAAAAATAAATATGTATAAAAGAAAGAGAACAGATAATAATACTAGCATTGTTATTTCATAGCATTGTCTATGCCACTGTAAGGATCAGATAAGTCAATGCACAGAAAAAGAGTAAATTGAAAAACGCAATGTGAATGTAACATAGTATTACTATTTTAATAAATACTATTCATAATAGCATGCTAATAGAATCTGGATAATATCTATATCACATCATTACCTTCTCCCAGTAGTAAGAATGATTAAAAATTTTACTAAGAAATCTATGAATATAATACCTTTGAGCAATCTATTATTTCTGATTAGTGCTTTACAAAGTTGAAATTACTAAAAGTTATGATTAACAGCAAGAATAAAACAGAGCTGATAACTCTGACTACTGCCTTTTGGCAAAAAGTAACAAGATATATGTCTAACTGCTGAATAATGTGAGATATATAAAACAAATGATGGTAAGACAAATATTAGACCTAATTCCTGCAGCTAAAAGAAATATACCACACTTGATCAGCACACTTTAATATTTTCCATCTAATATAAAAATTGAATGTTGGCAAATTAATTCTTAAGAAAGCCCAGGATGCATAAACATTAACATATACATATATGGTACCAGCAAAAGACTGCACATCTTCAACTGAGTCAACCTCCATATTCGCTAACTCTCCAGGAGGTGGAACCACTGGTAAATCCAAACTTTTTCCCACACGTGCAGCATGAAGCTCTTCCACTATCTGCATCTAAATTGTAGAAGACCCACAGTAAGATATTTCCAATTACTTACCCTGCATATTAATAAGAGAAGAAAGCAATTAATTCATAATTGAGAGGAGATGGTTTGTCGAAAGAAAAAAATCACAAAAACATGGAGGACAACAAGGTAAAAGAATACAAATTTATAAACATACACAGGAGTTTTAAAAATAGCTCTTCTCTTATTACTTCTGTAACCTCAGGCAAGCAAACTGTTTAACTACTTTGGGTCTCAGTTTGTTCCCCTACATTTTGTTCATTCCTTTTAGCATTTTTGTGAGAATTAAATGAGATAATGTGAAGCTCCTCACACAGAACCAATACACACAAGACCTTCAGATCTGTTAATTCTCATTCCCATTCTCACTTTGGAGCCAAATCTGTCTTTATCTGGACGATGAGTGCTCTTCTTGAGATTTCTAAGATTGTTTATAGACCATCAAAAACTGAAAACTATACCTTAAGACTCTTATTGTTTCAGGGAAGTAATTCTCTGATGTGTTTTGATGCAAAGAAATAAAAATATTATCTAGCTTTAGAGCCGAGAAGAGAAATCTTTCTTCTATTAAGAGGCACTGACCCTCAAGACAGAAAAATACAACTGACTGTCACAAAGAGCAATCACTGTGGTTTAAAAGTCATCTTTAAATTTAAAGAATTTTAAATAGAAAAATTCAGTGTTCTATGAATCTAATTTTAATTTAGGACCTGGGAACATAAAATTCTATGAGGGCCAATCAGGAGATTCTAGCTGGGAAATGAAGCAACAGGTTAAACAATAAATGTACATATGTACTCACTTTCATTGAATAACATTTCCACCATACTACAGATTAGAAAAATGAGGCAAAAACATGTTATATCGTTTTTTGGCAAAATTAGGCATACGCATGAAAAACATAACATTAAATCAAAATTTGCATAACTTGTGGGCCACAGGTCCATGCTCTTGAATCAGATTAGAGAAACAAAGGCAAAAAGGTAAATGTAAATACTTTTCCAAACAGTTTTTCATTACTTTATAAAAACTTACATACTGATTTAAATAGACATCACTGTTATTTTCATATAACCAAGGTTTATATAATTATTACTTTTTATTAATATGGGAACTGTTTGATTTAATTTCATTAAAAATAGTCAAAGTGAAAAAGTGAACCAGTAACCTCTTGATCTGTGTCTTGAATACTTTCAAGTGACACTGAAGAACATGGTGCTTCAAAACTCTGAAATGAAAAGTAATTTCATTAGTTAAGAATGAAGCCTATTCCTAGAGTAGGATTTCTCAACTTTGGCACTGGTGACATTTGGGGTAGTATAACTTTTCATTTGGGGTGTTCTGTGTGCACTGTAGTATGCTAACAGTAGCCCTGGCCTCTTAACCACTAAACACCAGCAGCACTACCCCCTCCCAATCTTGACAAACAAAAACATCTTCATCTAGCCAATTGCTAAGTGTCCCCTAAGGAGCAAAATTGCCCCAGGTGAGAAAATGCCCCAACAGAAAAACCTCATTCTATTAAGTCATGAAACACAGTAGAAATTCTTTAGGATTTACTCATTCATACGTACATGCCTAAAAACATTCATATTCTAAGAATAAAACTACACGCCTCCCTAAGAAATAGAATGAACCATGGCAACAGTAAATAAGCTGGCCCCCATGGTGGGAAATTTTCATCCCGGAGTAACTGGGCCATTTCTGAAAGTGACATGACCAAACAACAAAGAGAACTTGAAGATTATGATGTGGCTAAGGGAAAAAGGCTGAGAAACTCACAGTTGTATTACATATGGGTAGAGCATCACAGGTTTGTGTTTTATTTTTTTGTCCTCTAGCAGATATTGAAAATCTCTCCACTAATTCCAATTTTTCACTGGCACTTCTCCTGAGCGGATGAGGCCTACCTGATCCTCGCCTCGGTACAGGTGACAGGGGAACTCAGCAAAAGTCACTACTCAACAAAACCACCTTCTAAGAATTCTTTCAGATAACCCCAAACTCATAGGTATTTTCCAGAAGATTATATATGGCATAACTTACAGATCCTCTTTAAACAAGTATATTATATGTTGCTTTATTGGGAATTAAGCTTCCACACTAACTTCCCAACATCAATCTTCACATAACACCATATACACTACACACATAGGCCCATTATAGTTTTACTATTCCCTGACATTGGATTTTATAATCCCTTCTATACCTGACTTTAAATCTCTTTAAGAGTCTCTTCAACTATAACTTCAACTTTAATTTCAAGCAAGTTAAGAGATTATTATCAGAACTTCCTGCAACCCCTGACATCCCAAGTCTTTTCATTCTTTTCCTGAGATCACTACTACCTTCATTCTCTCTAACCACAGGCCACTTCCAGGGGCCTGAATAAATTTTCCATCACCCCAAGAGCCAGAAAAGTTCATTGTCAATTGTCCCTGAAAACTTCCTCCCTATTGAGAAAGAAAGTCTTAGTGGGCACTGAACTGTTTGCCTTCCCCTACGATGCTTATTACACATGGACTGAGATAAAGCCTTCTCTTGGGATAACAAAAGGGAAATTAATAATGAGGGTAATAATGGTTTTATCTCCTGAATACAAGATCAAAAAAAAAAATTGTTCCCATGGGATGCAAACTAATCTGTTGTCTGGATCCTGGCTTCTCTCCAACTTCCTCTCCTATAGATTCTCTGCACGTCTCACCTCCAGTTATACCTAACAACTTGGATGCCCACATATACTCATGCCATGCAATTTCACAACTGTGCCATTAGACATCCTGGCCCTCTCCCCTGGTGGGAAACACCAATATTCTTTGTTCTAACACATCCTTCCACACCAAGCTTAAGAATCTTTATCTTAGCGAGCTTTTCCTTAACTCACCCTAAAACTAGTCCCAACACAGTTCTTAGGGCTCTAACATTTACTTCACTGTATTGCAATTGTATTTGTTTACTAGGTTATCTCCCTGAGAACTTCTTGAAGGTAAAGATCACCTATTCATCCCTAAATCTCTAGAACTTGGAAAAGCACCTGATATACACTAGGCACCTTAAACTAATGGATTCTACCTCACAGACTTGTAAGGATTAAGTAGGATAGTATTTATAAAAGAGGCCTATAAACCAAATATCTCTAAAACATTAATTGGCAATGGTGAGGGAAGGGTGCAAACTGAGAGGGAGCTCTATCAAAGGACTATAAAACCCAAGAAATAAAAGAAGTTATTTTCTCTTAGGAAAGCATAATAGCATTGCTAAATGACTTTCTAAAGTCAAAAAAGATTACTAAATCCAGAAAATGCAACTATTTCCTTGTAAAGTACATTCATTATTTTAGAAAGATAACAATCTACTGAGGAATTTGTGAGGAAAATAAAACAAACATAATATTAAGATGATTGGCTACTATCAATAATATGCTAAGATAATATATTCAAGATAAAAATATATACTTGCTGCTTCTAAATGACTTAAAGTCAGATAAGACTGCTATCAAAGGAATACTTGATAAAGAGTTTTAATTTCAATAACTGGAAAGTCATCATACAAAAATTGCTTCCCCTACAATTTAATATTCATGCTATGTACTTCATTTGGTTTGTGTAGTAATTCTACACAGATACCAAAAGAAACTGTAAGATGTACTTGCAAGGATTTCTCATACTGCTCCTTAGATGCACACTGAACAAGGACACAAAGATGTTCACTGAACATACTGACAACTTCACGTTCCTCTCTCGCATTCCACCCCACTGAACTGGTTAACACAAGAACACCCGAGCTTTCCTATAAGAAATGATACACAGAACAAACTCAATTCTTTCCCTCTTTGTACCTTTTCAAGTTGACTAAATGAAAAGTACTCAAGTTTTTCTGGCCTCACTAGTTATAATCCCTGTATTTTTCCCAGAAAATATCTTATATTGCAATATAGAGTCTTGATTCTAAAAGTAGATAGATAGGCTCAGCCACCCCTGTATATAAGCAGTCTCTAAATTTCAGAATTTCTGAAATTTTAAAGTTCTAAAAGTTCTCTTAAAGGTAAATAATGTTATCTGCCATAGAAATAAGATTATAGAGATTAGGTTTTCAAGTAAGCCCATATTTACCAATTTAGTACAAAATTTAGAAGCAAAATAGATATGGCAAGCCTTCTAGACTGGATCTCTGCATGTGCAGCTCCCATTCCTGGATGATCCCTGCGTCTCCCTGTCCCCCTCCACCTTGCCTTCACTTGAGTAGTAGTAACTCCTATTCATTCTTTAGTTCTCAGTTTAAATGTTACCTCCTCCAGTAAACCTTTCTCAATTAATCCCTCCANATCAAGGACTAGAAAATGTGCCCTTAAGCAAAAGGTAAACTAGTGAAAAATCAAGCAATGTTTTAGAACTTAAAACATTTTTTTTGAAAGAAGGCACTAGTACAAAAAGCATTAAAAAATCTACTTTGTGACTGAATATACTTCAACATACACAAATATAGAAGAAAGTATCACAGAAAATAAGAGACATTCAAAAGTAAAACTGAAGAGTCAAAAGCAAGTTGGATATTTTGTTTTTGCTTTTTGTTTTTAGACATTAACTGAGCTTGTTTGGGAAGCAGAACTTTTATTTATTTAATGCCATTTTTCTACAACTCCTTATTTTCAGAGAAACTTTGGTCTTATCAATTTTAACATACATAATATTTTTTATATTTACCTACCCACATTAGTGGTAAGAAATTTTTTCACCACAAAATTCTCTAAAATTTTTATCCAGAGAATGTAGAAATTAAAGAAAAGTAATCTCCATGATTCCTAACATTCCCCGAATTCTCTAATTGTGGCCACAACCTATTTAATTAACATGGTTTTAGAGACATACCAATTCAGTAAGCTATATATTCTCTTCACAGGTAATATATGTAAAGATAATTTATCCAAAATTTCTAAATCAGCGTCACAACTTCTTCCATTAATCTATGTAATAAAGTTATGTATCTATCTTCTAAGGGTGTATCAAAATAAAATCACTTGAGATAAAAATCTACATTTGATTTGAAAGTGTCATTTACACATTATAGAATTGTGATAGCCTTTCTATTTCACTCACCTTTTCCTTATATTTATGTTAATATCAGGAAAATTCAATAATCATAATCTATGATATAGCTACAAATATTTACATGCAGAACAGTACTAACCAAAGTAAATTAAGGATTTTGCAAATCTAAATATTTAGTCACAGAATTTTAACCCAAAAGAGTAAAATGGTATCAAGGAAAAGAGTGAATTTACCTTTTCAGTTCTTTTCTTCTTTTCATATTACAATACAGAATGTCTGTATGATTTGATTTCTGAAAGAAAAAAGTGTATTGTTTAGGAAATAGAAACTGTGCAAGAGTGCTACAGTTATGGAGGAAGGATATTGGGAGACAATATTTTTTCCCATAGCTATGTATGTGTTAGTGAAGGTTGACACAGTAATTTGCTTGATCCTTCCAATAATCGTGTGAGACAGGTACTACCCTTCCTCACTTTACAGATAAAGTACCTCAAGTACCCAAGGCTCAAGTGGAGCAAAGTATCTTCCTCAATATCACCTAGCAATTCAGTAACAGAGCCATGGTTTAAAACCAGATCTGTTTACTTTCTCTACTCTACCACTGTGTATTTCTGGGGATACAGGGCTAGGTACAGGAAAAATAAGAAGTAGGATTTGTCCCGGTCTTAAAGAGCTTAAAGTAAAAGAATAAAGTAGAGAGAAGAAGGATATGTACAAATAATAATAAGGACAAAGCCAGAAGAATAGACAGTAAGTTGTAAAAGAGTTTAAAACATCAACCACCAAAAGCTGGAGCATACCTAGAAAAAAAGATGGACAAAATATATGCTAGAGATTGACTATAGTTTGAATAAAGATTAGTAGGTAAAATAAAAAGGTAAAATAAAGATTAGTATAGGTAAAATAAAAAGGTATTCTCAGCTAAGAATGCTAAGGCCTTCAAAGAAGCTGGATGCCTGGTGTAAATTCAGCAGAGAGAAAATAAACCAGTCTAACTAGAAGCAGGACTGTTTTGAGGAAGAAGAAAAAAGAAAACCAGATAGTTATGGTGTGACCAAATTTAAGAGTCCTGCTGAATGACAAAAAAACTGAGTGGAGATTTTTCAACAGAGGAGAAATAGGAAATTGTAAAATGATAAAACAGCTCCACAAAGGAATTTGTCAATATAATTAAGAATTCTAAAAATGTTCATATTCTTTTGACTTTTCAGTAATTTTCAGTTTAAACATCTTTACAATGCTGGAAAAAAAATCAGAAATGGAGTAAAAAAAAAGATGTTCAATTCAGGATTATTTTATAATAGCAAAAAATCAGGTATAAAGTAAATGCTAAAATTTTGGAAATAACTAAAAAACTTGTCATTCTATCAAATATAGACTATCCCAGCCACGTAATGATGCTCATGAAAAGTTTTCAATGACATAACCAAACTTATCGATATCATATTAAGCAAAAAACAAGCAGAACACAAATCTGTATGTATAATGTGGTCTTGAGAATTAAAATAAACATAGTGAAAAAGAAAGAAATATGCTGACATGTTTAGAGGAGCAATAGCTAGAAGTGATAATAATATTTTCCTTAATAAAAACAGGTATTACTTTATAAAGAGAAAAAATTTCAATGAAACACAATCTACTATTTTACATCAATAAATCTTTGAGTGCCTTCAAGTGACTGTCACTCTGCAGAGCAGTGGAGACTCGTAAGATAGAGTCCTTACCCTGAAGTAGCATACAGACCAGCAGGAGAGAAAGATGGTAAATAAGTGACTTCTCAAATAATTAAAGAACAAATTATAAGCATCTCAGTATTTTATAGCAGTTTCACCTGAGTCTTCATCTGACTTTATTTTCTTTGCTACCTCTTCCTACAAAAAGATTGCTTATCATTATTTATCTATTAATAAGTAACAATAAGACAAAACTTTACGTTTTAATAGGATCTTAGTTGACACCTAACAATATATCATGTAATATGGCAATGTATGAAAGAAAAATAAAATACAACAAAAATTTTAATAGGACCTTGTAGTTCTCTTAGCATTTTCATATTCCTTTTTATTTGTTTCTTCACAAGAGCCCATGTTGCATATTTCAAAACAATCTATACATCTTGGCCTGTACGGTCATAATTAATGAAAACTCAACATCATAATACCTTTTAAAAGACCAACAAAATTATATCTTAAATTACCTCTTGTCAACTAGTTTCATGAAATGCTATATTACAGTAATACAATTTTACATATGCAACCCAATATACTAAAGTTCTGAGATCATTTTAGATGTAAGTTAGACATACAGCACATACTTATGAATGACTTAGTGTAACATTAATATTCACCTGAAAATGGATGTCACCATCCTAGATTGAATTGTTGTGATATAAGAATGTGAAATTTTGTCAGAATTCAATTATTACTATAATTAGATTATTAAAAATTTAAGAACCAGTGTTCCAAAATATGACATACTGCAGGAACAGTCATTTCCAACATTATCAGCTGCAAGACTGCTCCACTGGTCATCATAATACACATTTAGAATACTGAATTATATACTTACTTTCAACTTGGGCCAACTGAAGAATAAAGCACTTTTTGGATAATTCTGCCAATAATGGGTATTTCTAATGGCAATATTGCTATCTCTCTAATAATAGTAACAGAGGTAAAATGTATCTCCTCTTCAATTCTTGGATTAAGATTTGGTCATTGGTGATGATGCAATATTACTGAAGAAATTCTACAAACTCAAAGTGCAATGCTTAAAGAAATGCTTTCTGAATACTTTCAAAAGCAGACCTACTATTGTTGCCCTTACAATTTTACTGCTAATACATCTATATGTACTTAATGGATCTAGAATTGTGGTAATGATACAATGTAAATGGTTTTCAGGATGAAAAAAATTCTCATTTTCCATCTGCATCTCAAATTTAACTATTTGCACATCAATTTCAGGACCATTCTGTTGTTGAACAGGATTTTTACAGAAGATGCGATATACCATAAAGAAATAATTATAACCTTAATGCAAATAAGCTTACTTCTCCAATAATTAAACAATAGCAGGCAACCAATGGATAACAGAAATCCTGCACAGTTGATATCGATGTTTTTGCAAAGCACAGTATTACAACTTTGTCCATGTAATCTTTTTAAATAAATAACAGTTCTTACATCATATTGTTTAAGTATATGACAGAGCAGTTTTAAAATATCTGGTATGCCATTTACTTTGTCTTTGACAGAAGAAAATTTCAATGTAAGTTAAATCCAGAATTGTTTGGGGTTTTTTTTGGTATCATTAACATACAATTACATGAGCAACATTATGGTTACTAGACTCCCCCCATTATCAAATCCCCACCACATACCCCATTACAGTCACTGTCCATCAGTCTAGTAAAATGCTATAGAATCACTACTTGTCTTCTCTGTGTTATACTGCCTTCCCCATGCCCACCCCACCTACATTATGTCTGTTAATTGTAATGTCCCCTTTTCCCCCTTGTCCCTCCCTTCCCACGCATCCTCCCCAGTCCCTTTCCCTTTGGCAACTGTTAGTCCATTCCTGGGTTCTGTGAGTCTGCTGCTGTTTTGTTCCTTCAGTTTTTGCTTTGTTCTTATACTCCACATATGAGTAAAATCATTTAATAGTTGTCTTTCTCTCTACCTGGCTTATTTCACTGAGCATAATACCCTCTAGCTCCAGCCACGTTGTTGCAAATGGTAGGATTTGTTTTCTTCTTATAGCTGAATAATATTCCATTGTGTATACGTACCACATCTTCTTTATCCATTCATCTTCTGATGGACACTTAGGTTGCTTCCATTTCTTGGCTATTGTAAATAGTGCTGTGATAAACATACAGGTGCATCTGTCTTTTTCAAAGTGGACTGCTGCATTCTTAGGGTAAATTCCTAGGAGTGGAATTCCTGGGTCAAATTTCTATTTCTATTTTTAGTTTTTTGAGGAAACTCCATACTGCTTTCCACAATGGTTGAACTAATTTACATTCCCACCAGCAGTGTAGGAGGGTTCCCCTTTCTCCACAGCCTCTTCAACATTTGTTGTTGTCTGTCTTTTGGATGGTGGCCATCCTTACTGGTGTGAGGTGATATCTCATTGTGGTTTTAATTTGCATTTCTCTGATGACTAGCGATGTGGAGCATCTTTTCATGTGTCTGTTGGCCATCTGAATTTCTTCTTTGGAGAACTGTCTGTTCAGATCCTCTGCCCATTTTTTAATTGGATTATTTGCTTTTACATCTAGAATTCTTGACAATATTTGAAAGTGAATATTCAGGTATTAACTATAAATCCAAATGCTATGCCTTGTTCATATTACTGATGTTGTTACCCTGATTAGATATGATGAAAACTCACACAATAGCATGTTCACTGATCACACGTGGGTTCAGGGATACAGAAATGTTATTGAGGTAGGCATTCAACTATTCAGTTTGCAAGGGGTGAAGCCAATTACAGCTTTTAAGTAAATACTGAAGCCAAGGTGAACTTCCTTGCATCCTTAGACTTATTTAGATCCTATTCTCAAAATAATTCAACAATATTATTCCTTCCTCTTCCCAAAGACTTTGTGGACCAGTCTAAACGGAGTAGTTTACATATTGGAAGTCTATTTAACCTCTTATATACATATATAAAATCAAGGACTAGAAAATGTGCCCTTAAGCAAAAGGTAAACTAGTGAAAAATCAAGCAATGTTTTAGAACTTAAAACATTTTTTTTGAAAGAAGGCACTAGTACAAAAAGCATTAAAAAATCTACTTTGTGACTGAATATACTTCAACATACACAAATATAGAAGAAAGTATCACAGAAAATAAGAGACATTCAAAAGTAAAACTGAAGAGTCAAAAGCAAGTTGGATATTTTGTTTTTGCTTTTTGTTTTTAGACATTAACTGAGCTTGTTTGGGAAGCAGAACTTTTATTTATTTAATGCCATTTTTCTACAACTCCTTATTTTCAGAGAAACTTTGGTCTTATCAATTTTAACATACATAATATTTTTTATATTTACCTACCCACATTAGTGGTAAGAAATTTTTTCACCACAAAATTCTCTAAAATTTTTATCCAGAGAATGTAGAAATTAAAGAAAAGTAATCTCCATGATTCCTAACATTCCCCGAATTCTCTAATTGTGGCCACAACCTATTTAATTAACATGGTTTTAGAGACATACCAATTCAGTAAGCTATATATTCTCTTCACAGGTAATATATGTAAAGATAATTTATCCAAAATTTCTAAATCAGCGTCACAACTTCTTCCATTAATCTATGTAATAAAGTTATGTATCTATCTTCTAAGGGTGTATCAAAATAAAATCACTTGAGATAAAAATCTACATTTGATTTGAAAGTGTCATTTACACATTATAGAATTGTGATAGCCTTTCTATTTCACTCACCTTTTCCTTATATTTATGTTAATATCAGGAAAATTCAATAATCATAATCTATGATATAGCTACAAATATTTACATGCAGAACAGTACTAACCAAAGTAAATTAAGGATTTTGCAAATCTAAATATTTAGTCACAGAATTTTAACCCAAAAGAGTAAAATGGTATCAAGGAAAAGAGTGAATTTACCTTTTCAGTTCTTTTCTTCTTTTCATATTACAATACAGAATGTCTGTATGATTTGATTTCTGAAAGAAAAAAGTGTATTGTTTAGGAAATAGAAACTGTGCAAGAGTGCTACAGTTATGGAGGAAGGATATTGGGAGACAATATTTTTTCCCATAGCTATGTATGTGTTAGTGAAGGTTGACACAGTAATTTGCTTGATCCTTCCAATAATCGTGTGAGACAGGTACTACCCTTCCTCACTTTACAGATAAAGTACCTCAAGTACCCAAGGCTCAAGTGGAGCAAAGTATCTTCCTCAATATCACCTAGCAATTCAGTAACAGAGCCATGGTTTAAAACCAGATCTGTTTACTTTCTCTACTCTACCACTGTGTATTTCTGGGGATACAGGGCTAGGTACAGGAAAAATAAGAAGTAGGATTTGTCCCGGTCTTAAAGAGCTTAAAGTAAAAGAATAAAGTAGAGAGAAGAAGGATATGTACAAATAATAATAAGGACAAAGCCAGAAGAATAGACAGTAAGTTGTAAAAGAGTTTAAAACATCAACCACCAAAAGCTGGAGCATACCTAGAAAAAAAGATGGACAAAATATATGCTAGAGATTGACTATAGTTTGAATAAAGATTAGTAGGTAAAATAAAAAGGTAAAATAAAGATTAGTATAGGTAAAATAAAAAGGTATTCTCAGCTAAGAATGCTAAGGCCTTCAAAGAAGCTGGATGCCTGGTGTAAATTCAGCAGAGAGAAAATAAACCAGTCTAACTAGAAGCAGGACTGTTTTGAGGAAGAAGAAAAAAGAAAACCAGATAGTTATGGTGTGACCAAATTTAAGAGTCCTGCTGAATGACAAAAAAACTGAGTGGAGATTTTTCAACAGAGGAGAAATAGGAAATTGTAAAATGATAAAACAGCTCCACAAAGGAATTTGTCAATATAATTAAGAATTCTAAAAATGTTCATATTCTTTTGACTTTTCAGTAATTTTCAGTTTAAACATCTTTACAATGGTGGAAAAAAATCAGAAATGGAGTAAAAAATTACAACATTTAATACAACAACAATAAATTGAAACAGCAGTTTCATTATATGAAGACAAATTCTTAAAAACAGAATTGTGCATTCATGGAAGTTTCTCAACTACTTTCTCTTATTACAACAACTATACAGGTATCCCAATATATAGCTAAATTCAACTTGAATGTGTTAACTATTTCATCAACCAAACATGCACTTTTCTGATGTGTTCAGTCTGCTATCACCGGTTCTAATTATCTGTGTGAGAGTGGTAGGAACTCTGGACTTGGTTCTGTTGCTGTATACATTTTGTGTCCTTGGACAAGTCATTTAACTTTCTGGATCTCAATTTTTGAATCTGAAAATACAAACAATGTATCTGTCTTGGCTACCTCAAAAGGAAATTATAAAGACAAATATAACCATGTTTGGGAAAAGACTTAAAAACTGCCTAAATTTATATCCATGTTGTCCATTTCCACATGGCAGGGTCCATATTAGCATGAAGAAATAAAGAACTTGATGTTTTTTGGTGGGTAGAAAAAGAAAAAAAACAAATGCTGGTCTTCTTTCTGTTGGCTATCAAAAAGTAAGTAATACAAAGAAAAAAATTAATGGAAAAGTAGTGGGGGGATTTTATACCATAACTTTCTAATTATACATTAGAACTTTAGTATAAATAATTTTTAGAGTTACAGTATCTAAACACTCACGAGTTTTCTCTTTTCTGATGAAACAGATTTTATACAGCAAGCAGACCCAGTAGAACTTGCTACGGTTTTTTTCTCTTTCTTATCCTAAAAATGTCATTTGGAAAAAAGGAAAGAAAAGCACAAGAAAAAGCACAGTGTAAGAGCATTATTTCATTATTATTATTATAAATCAACAGTCCTTCTATATTAATAATAAAGTTCAGGGGGGAAAAATGTTTAAAGGCACACAAACTTTGGTAAGAGGAAGGGGAACAACTAGATGGGAGACTCAACTAGAAATCAGAAGATCTAGGTGCTCCTCAATTAGAGCTGAGATGGAATACAGGGGTTACAGCAGAAAGCCAGCTGACAGCACAGGTAAGGGCATTGGGAGGCAGCACTGCCATGGTGGAATCCAGTCCTCTCCAAAGCAAAACCATATAACCCATTATTTTTCCAGCGGATCCTGAATTCAATTACACCACAGACACACATTCTGAATATCTATGTACCAAAGATATTCTATACAGTGGGGACAAATCAGTGAAACAACAGTAGAAGTTTCCTGCCTTCATCAACATTAAAATCTAGTGCAGAAATTTACAAATGAACAAGTAATATGTTTAGTGTGTCAGACAACGCTATAGGAAAAAAATTAAGCTGAGAAAAAGGCCAGGAAGGGCTGGAAGGTAGGGGTGGAGGCAGCGGCAATTTTAAACAGAGTAGTCAAAAAAGGGCGGTCCCACTGATAAGATGATGTTTGAATGGAGATCTAAAGAAATGAAGAAACAAATATTTAGGGAACAAGTTTTAGGGAGTACAGCTAAGGCAAAGCCCCTAAGGTAGGAATGTGCCTGGCTCACTAGAACAGCAGCTAGGAAGACAGGAGTGAAGAAAACAAAGAAAATGAGAGGGAGATAAGATGGGGAGAGTGGGTCGCTTTGTCAGCCCCAGCAAGGCCACTAGCTCTACTAGGGATGAAGTAGAAAACCACCATCAAGTGGTGACAGAGTGACATGATCTGACTTATATTTTAATGAGATCATTCTGGCTGCTGAGTTGAGAAGAGAATACAAAGAGGCAAAGGTGGAAACAGGGAGATCAATTTAGAAACTATTGGAATAATCTTACAAAAGCAAATTGACTGCCTGGATTATTATGATAATGAGACAGAGCAGGGAAGTGGGACAAGGGTCACACAACTGTAAAATGTACTTAGTTTGCAAAAAAGGCCCAGCTTATTTAATCTATGTGCTGTTCTTCCTCTTCTTCCAATCCTTTAAATCAAACAAGCAACTTTGTAACCAGGATCAGAGACAGACCTCAGGAGTGTAAATGAACCTACTTGAATAAAGAATGCTGAGATCAGATTAACACAGTCACCTAAATAACCCTATTCTTAAAACACTTCAAAGGCATTATCAATCACCTGTATACATCATGCCTTATGCCAACCCCTACCCAAAAGGCCCTAAAAAAACCCCAAACCCTGAACCCTTAAGCCTCCTCTGAGGTCGCTTGCACTCCCATCTGAGTGTGTACTGTCTTACAAATAAACTTTCTTGTTGCATAAGCCTATTTTACTTGACCTCTGAACTCTTTTCCACAATAAAGACAAAAATTCATCCAACTCCAGTGAAAGTGTCTTTTGTCACTTTGCTATTTCATTCAGCTTTCTAGTCTTAATGCAATCCTTCTTCTCTCTCCCAGCTTTATTTCAGATCTGCAGGGAAGTGGATGTTGTGAGAATATAATCTCACTCCTTCCAGTGCTCTGAGGCTCCCCAAAATTCTGAAGTGGTAGGGATTTAGTTCCTGCACCATGCAGATTAGGCAGACACTGGGTGCCTGGTGACCTTGGCTTTAGGAGTTGGCAAGGACTTGCCCTATGCCAAGCAGTTCAGTGAACTTCCCTTTTCTCCCTCTGCTCTTCCTTGCTCTCTACTGCCTGCAGAGCTGTTGACATTTGCTTCTACGCTTGCTTTACTCCTTTCTTGCTGGCACTTGTTTGACCTGATCGCTAACTCTTTACTGATCAGAGTCAATAGTACACACCCGGGAGGCTGAGGTTTCGTTGGTATGCAGAGAGACCCTCCCCAGATACGGCTGCCAGGCAACAACACGGGTGGAGGAGGTGGTCAGACTCTCAATTTTTACTAAGAGAAAGCAGATAGAATTTGCTGACAAACTAGATGCAGGTAGAGGATGACAACCAGAGTTTTGGCCCAAGCAACTGAAATAATGGAACTGCAACTTACTAAATGGAAAAACTGAGGCTGGGCACTTGAAAGGTTATATAACAAGATGAGGAGGAACCAGAAAAAGACACTTCGAGAAACAGTCACTAGGCGGAAAATCAGGACAGCATGGTGTCCCAAAAGCTACATGGAAGAAAGTGTTTCAAGGAGAAGGTGTAATCAGCTATGTCAAATACTGCTGATGCATCAAGTCACATGAGGTCTGAAAACTGACAAAGGATTTAGCAACATGAAATCCATTGCTAGCCTTGATGAAAGCATATTTGGAGTAGTCATGGCAAAAAATAGTCTGAGTCAAGTAGGTTAAGTGTGAATAGGAGAACTGCAAACAGCATGCCAATTATTAGTGTCAAACAGGGGATACATAAATCAAGGACAAGTGAGTACTGTATGGCAATGCTCCAGGTCCCCTTTTCCAAGTATCACAATAGTGGGGGGCCAAATGAGTCACCAGAAAGTTGACACCAAGGAACAAACACCAAAAAGTATAATGATCTCTAGAATATTTCATCCAGGCGATGAGTAAGACTTATGAACTAACCCACTATCACAAAAATTACTTCTTTAGTGAATACTCACCTTTGCCAGACTTTAGTCTCTCATCCTGGGTGGTAATGTAGCATAAACACTGTCTAATTCTGATGATGCACTATGTAAACTATTCAGAGAGTTTATAATAAAACTGATGGCAGAGTTTTTGTTTGCTTGTTTGGGTTACATCAGTCACATTGCAGTCTTGCTTCCTGGAGACACCACCTAGCTCAATTGATTGGATATCCTAAATTTCATCTACCAAAACACTTGTTAAGGTAGAGGTCTGAGTAACAGAGAAAGGAACATGTGAGCATGTCTTCCCTAAGCATAGCCTCCCTGGTAGCCTGTTCCGACTGATGGGCACATAATCCTATCCAATGCTGAGTAAACAGAGAAAGGGGAAGAATGTGCAAAACGGTCTAATAGTGAGTTACTACTATGAAAAGGGTACTTTGGGGGGCTTAAAATTGAAGTCAGGAATGCCTAGGCAAATTACATACCTCTCTACTTCATTGTGTAACAAGGATAACAGTAGTACTTACCTCACAGGGTTGTAAGGAATAAATAAAATAATGCAGGTAAAGAATGGGAAAAACAAATGACTTCTCCTAGGTCAGAAGGGCAGAACAAAATATTTACATATCTCATTTAAAAAGTGAGGTGTATTTTTTCCATTACACAAAGATAGACTGTAAAAAAGGGTATCTTTGGGTAAGCAAATAAAAATTCTTACTTCTTCATCAAAGTTGAGTGTTGAGGTGGTCCTTTTTCTCTGAGACTTATCTTTCTTCACACAAGATTCCTTGTGGGACATTTTGAAAAGCTAAAATAAACATTAAAAACACATTATGTGTTTTTTACCATCACAAAAAAAAAATATATTAGAAATTCTCCTTTTAATTTCACAAAGATTGAAGTTTGGCATAATGACTTCCATTTCCAAGCTATTTCCCAGATGATAGGATTCTCATTGTGCCACTTATTTCACTTTCATTCTCACTTATAATGACGTTTCTCTACTTCGGCTTCATCACCTTTTAAGAGTGACTCTCAAAACTATTCCTTTCGCCTTGACTTCTCTCTCAAGCACCAGATCACTATTTTCAACTGCCTGCAGAACTGCTGTATTTTGCCCCACCTACACCTCAAAACCAGTCATTAAGTATTCATTTTCCTCAGACACCCTCCCCTTCTGCCGCTCACTGTGACTTCAGGCAAATCACCTATTTTTTTCAGCCCCAGGTGGATTATATAAAAACAGATAATCCATCCGAGAGGGTTTTTGACGAACTCAAATGAAACAAGGAATGTGAAACATACTCTGCACAGGTAGTACACAGAGGGACTATAAATAAACACTGGCTTACATGGTTGTCTTTCTACTAGTCTCTGAGCTCCTTGAAGAGTAGGCTGTATTAAAAACTTAGGAGGTGCTCAGAAATGCCTGCTGAGTTAATAATTGAGTAAATTTTTCTTCCACAGAATATTCAGTCTTTCGATCTGAGCCACTTCCATCACAGTTTTTCTGCCTACCTCCCATATCACTCTGTTTTGCAGCCCTGCTCTGGATCAAGTCAATAATGTTAGCTGCTGACCAAAAAAAAAAAAAAATGCCATATGACAAACACAATCATCTCCTATGGTCAGACATTCGCAAGGTAGTGTGTACCACAAGTGTCTTGTGCTGGTACATAGAGGCCAGAGTCTGGGAACATCACCAGGTCTGCTGGGGCAGGAAGATACAAAAGGGTCTAGAAGCGAAGCCCGGAGGACAGATGATTGCTGGTTTCGGCATGTTTTAAGATTATGAACACAAGAACACTAGAAACCATGTAATTGCAGTTATTCCTTGTCAATTATGATCACAGTAAATGAAGTTCTATAAAAGAATGATCAATTACACTAAATAAAACTTGTAGAATGCTTTGAGGAATATAAAGAGAATAAAAATTCTAATCACTATAAAAAAATATTCAACATAGATTTCTAAGAACAAATTCTAAATTATCCAGAAATTTTGTGTTTATAAGATCATTTATGCCAACAATTGAGTTCATAGTTGAGTTTCCAGATTAGAGTAATAATCTTCTTATCCCTTTCTTGTTTCAAGGATTCCATTTCAAGTTGGCGAGGTACAGGAAAAAACAGTAACTTTCAGGAAAGGAAATGCTTATAGGTAATGGACTGGTTATGTTACCTTTTTACAATTTAAACTGATCCTTGTTGTTCTGATGTTGCATTGAAAACAACATTATGATAATTTAAACCTCTTACCCACAAAACAAATGGAAAAAACACCGCAGATAATGTACTATCAAAGGAAAAACACCTATATGTTCACCATGACAAACGTCTATTAGTGTGAAATTCATATGAAAATGCAAATATAACCTAAAGGATGGCAGCCTCCAAAATGGCTCACAGATCTTTGTTGCCTGGTAACTACACTCTTAAATTGTTCCCTCTCACAATACATTGGCTTGACCTGTGTAACCAACCAGACATTGCTATGTGGTCGTAAGTGGCTAAGTCATATAAGACACTGTGGCTTCTGCCTTGCTCTCAAATTATTCACTCTAGGGAAACTCAGCCACCATGTCATGAGGGCATTCAAGTAGCCCATGAAGAGGCCCACCCAGGAAGTACTGAGGCCTCTTGCCAAAAAAAGAACTGCCAGCCATGTGAGTGAGCCACCTTTTTTAAAGGTGATCCTGCAGCCCATTCAAGCCTCCACACGGCAGCATCCCTCGCAGATATCATCACTGCAATGAGAAACCCTGTGCCAGACACACCCAGAAAGCAATTTCTGAATTCCTGACCCATAGAAACTATGGGATAATAAATGTTCATTACTGTTTCAAGCCACTAAGTTTTGAGATAACTTAGGCAGCAATAGATGAGTAGTATACTCACTTAATATAATTATTCAAACTTGAAGATTTCTTCTTTAGGGTGTCTCAATGGCAGGGACCATGCTGGGAAATTCTTATTAAAATCGTGCACACACTAAAATCTAACCCTTTCCATGGTTTGTTTTCCGGATGGTATTAAACTATATTGACGTACTGAAGCAAGCTTTCAATTAATTATCTATTCTTTTATAAATTTAAAATAATCACCGATTCTTTGATGATGCACAATATAGTTAGCCACTACTCATTTCTGCAAGTTATGATGTTATTTTACCTTTTTTAATTGACTGTTAAAAGAGCAGTGAGTCAGTTCAGAATACCAGTTAAAAGGGGCATTAAAAGGGCTTTATAACTTAAAAAAGCTTCCATGAATAATCTGTTTCCATCAAACTGGGGGAGGCGGGAAAAAACCTCCAGGTATGCTTCCCAAGTACTTAGTGGACGGAGAAGGCAGGATGTTAAATTCCTGTTGGATTTTCAAAGTGCCAAATCATCAAACCCTTCCTGGTTTCTGAAACAAGTAGGAAATAAACAGACCCATGAGACAGGCATTAAGTATCAGCTTTAGTAACTAGGGAACCTAACTCGAAGTGTGGGTCGTGTGCCTGAGACTGAAAGGAGATTCCCTCTCCTTCCCTGTTACCTATAATGTTGGGTACAGTCCGAGGCAGAAGAGCCAGAAAACAAGTTTTTTCCTCTGCCTGCCTCAGTACGTTTGAGTGGGCGACGCTCAAGCTTAAGCAGGCCCAGAGAGCAAAGGGGAGAGAAGCACAGGGCCAGAGAACTCACTGGCAAACGCCTGGGGGATGTAAATCGTGTCAATCGAGTGCCCCGAAGCTCAACACACTCAGAGCTCTGGTTCATAATGCCTCAATACTAGACTACGGCGCCAACACAAAAACCAAACACAGTCCCCTATCCACGGGACTCTTACAACCTCACAGCTGCGCTGACGAAACTGGGTGTGCGTAGGCTGAAGCAAAAACAAAAACAAAAGGAAAAGAGCAGATCGTGGTGCGCGTGCGGGCGGACATGAACAGCAGTCCCAGCTCCAAGTCAGCGGGCCTGACGGGCCTGACACGGAAAGCTCGTCCGCGGCGCTAAGCCGCCGCGGCCCACCGGTCCCACAGAGCCCAGACCCTCCCCGGAGCGAGGGGCGGCCCCGCCGCCGAGCCGGGCCAGAGCACACCCCCGGTTCCGCCCACAGACTCGCTCCGCCCAGGGCCGCGGCACCCCCAAACCCCCAGTCCCGCCCGCCGTCCGCTGGAGCGAGGAAGGGCGATGGGGAGCCCGTCCTGACGCACGTGAACAAGCCCCCCGGGTCCCACACCTTACCAGCGCCGGCGGCAGTGCCGACCCGCTGGCCCGGGCCAGGGAAAAAGGTCTTCCGCGAAAGCGACGCCCGCTGGGACATGTAGTTCGGCGCCGGCGCCCAGGCTCCCACTCGAAGGCTCCGGAGCAAGTGTTCAGCTGCGTTTTCTTGCCTCAAGTCATAGAATCCGGCCCCGCCTCGGGTGGCGCGCAGCACGCTGGGTATTGCAGTCTTGGTTGGGTTTGGCGGCGGGCGCGCAGGAGGGAGGGGCGCAGTAGAGACGGAACCCACTTACCTCATTGGACCCCAGCTTCTGTTCGCTCCTGCGCAGTCTGCGGGGGCGTCGGAACGCCTCGGGGAAGGGGAGGTGGCCCGGACTACGAATCGCCGCCTCTGGCTTTTTATTTTTCCGCAGACAAAATTTGGTCACTGGGTCTTCATCTTTTGTCTGTCGCACGCACCCCGCCCTTCCCTTTTGCTTCCCCACTCCTTGGATCCAGCCCCTCCGGGCGTTCTTGCCAGTTCTCTCACCTCGCCGTGAGCCCCTCCGGGTCCCCGGGCGGGCCTGGCACGGAGGCGGTAACTATGGAGAACATGGCGGAGGAGGAGCTGCTACCCCAGGAGAAGGAGGCGGTGGAGGTGGCCCAGGCCCAGGTCCCGACCCCGGCCCCGGACTCGGCTCGGATCCCAGCTCCGGCCCCGGACCCGGCTCCGACGCCGGCCTCGGCGCCAGCGCCAGCCCCAGCCCCAGCCCAGGCCCCGGCTCCGGCCCTGTCCCCGTCCCTAGCCTCTGCCCCTGACGAGGCTGAAAGCAGTAAGTGCAGGAGGCGCAGATCTTTACGCTGCAGGAGAAGCGACACAGTGCGCCTTGCTGGGAAGTAGGGGAGGCCCTTCACTGGATTGTTTTTATGGGGAAAGGCAGGTTCAGGAAAGGGGGACGGGGGAAGGACGGACGGGCCCGTGTAGCAGGTAAAACTGGTAAAGAATGGAAGAAGGTATCGCCACGAATCTCGAGGACGTTATGGTGAAGGATATGTGGAGGTGCTGCAGACAGAAGTAATGAGGCTGAGGGCTTCTTCGTTAGAGGTCTTTTTCTAGTACGGAAATAGGAAGTTACACCTAATTTAGTAGTTCCCCGCTCAGCCCCGTCTGCAGTGGCAAAGTCCTTTAAAATGTGACCTAGTAAACCGAGGGAACCTGTTAATTGTAGCAGAGCCTACCTGCCAAGAGTTAGAAATGACTGCTGTCAACTAGCTTTTATGTCTCGAGAATACAGTAAAAGATGGTTTTTTCTCATTATTTCATTTTTCTTTAGCAGCTTGCTTCCAAAAATAATTTTAGGTTGCTGAGTAGTTGAGTCATCTAAATTATGAATGTCTTCCCTCAGACGTAAATACCAATTGAGTTTTATACTCCATTCCATCAGAAGTCTACTGTTGAAAATTAATAACCCATATTGTGCTTCTGAATGTGCTTGCATGTTTTCTAAGTGGTGATTTACTGGACCATAAATGAATTTAAAGGATTGATGACTAACACTTTCTTAAGAACCTTTTGAACATTTGTAAGTGTGAGGTCTAAGAAAGTTTTGGTTTTTTAAAAATTATTTTGTGGTCCATAAATCAACCCTTATGAATTAAAACAAAAGACCTTGAATTAATGCATTGTCTTTCCTACTTCTAAGCCATTTGTGTGTTTAATGTTTATAAAACACTTGGATAGTTATAGTCTAATAGATTATTTTGCAATTTTTAAAAGGACATAAATTGCAGATTTAAGAATAGACATTACAGAAAAGACATGTCAGCATGCCTCAGGTAGGCTCCTGATTATGTAAGATCAGAGTTAGGTGCCAAATAAAGCCAATCAGTTGGTTTTTCACCCACAACTACAGTGGGAGTAGAAGGAGAAACTGCTGAGTAAGTTAGCCTCCCTATCTCACCTCTAGATTGGATCTGTTTATATTAACCAGCAGTGGTTCAGCAGCCTTAGGGAATGCATGCTTTTTCCTTCTCCGCACCATCAAGAATTTGTTAAACATAGATTGGGAAGATTTACTCATATATTCCAAAATTTATGAGTCTGTAATCTGAAGAACATGATGTTTCAGAAACCCAAAAATGCATTACTGGGGCAAATATGTAATGCTTGAGGAATCTGAAATGCATTAGAAATATTTATTAATCACATTTTTAAAATTATTTTTAGATGGTCTGGTTAGTCCTTTGAAATAAGTCTTAACTAGGCTACATGAAGGTGCCATGTCTGCAATAGAATTGAAAATTAAGGAAAAAGTAACGGAGTTGTAAAAGAATCTCTTTAACATCTTGGACTCCTCTGGTTTAACAAGAGGTTTGCTTATTGACTTGTGAATGATTAGTGTGTTACAAAAAAGTTCAGTAATTGAAGTACAACTGATAGTGTCTATCTTGAACAAGAAAGTAATTTCAGAGATGTACATAGGCATATCATGAATCTTTAGACGGATTTTTGAGAGTTTTCTTCAATAATGGACAACAGAATTTTCAGTTTTCTAATTTACTAGGCCCTTTCTCTCTTATTTTGTACTACTTAGTAGTTAGAATGATTTCAATCACCATATCCTTATACAGTACTATATATGTCATTTCACATATACAGATCTTTGAAATATGGAAGCCCAGAACCTTTAATTCTTATGAATTAAGTAGGTTGGTTTGTCATGTACCTGAATCTTACTGTCTAACCTGGCAAAAGTTTTTGGTTAAATGGGGGGAAATGTTGCCTATTTATAGAAATTATATCTCATTATAAGTCATTTGAACAATACCTGGTATAAGAAGTTAACTAATAACATTCTTGCTCTTTGCTTTTCTCATTTAAAAATAAGATAAAATTCTGTCTTTTAAAAATTTGAGCAAGAATGCCTAGTAGTACTGAACTGAAGTCCAAAATTATTGACTTGGTGTGCTACTACTTTCAAACAGACTAAAGATTTTAAAAATTACTTAAAGACCTTAGTGCCTGTTACGAGCAAGTTAGTACACTAGGCACCTAGCCGTTACAAAGATGAATACGGAATAACCCCTGCTCTCCTACTGTCTATTTGCGGGGGGAGACAAGGACACAAATTATAAAGAAGGGTAAACAAAGGAACTGGGAATGAAGGCTGGAGAGGAATAGGCAGGAAGAGGTAGCAGAGGCAAATACAGAATTTAAAAAGCTTAGGATTCTAAATTGTATAACCTAACTGTAATAAATATTAGCCCTATGGTTTATCCCATCACCTCTTTTCTCATTGGGAATCTTTTCCTATCAGTTATCTCCTGGTCTGGTATGTTCAGGCTTCCACTTGGTAAATGTTCCTTTCCTTGGGGATATACATAATTCAGGTCTCTCTGTCCTTAAAAAAAAATCAGCAAGTTAGTCCCAACTATTTCCTTTTCTATACTGCCAAACTTCTTAGAAAAAAAATAGCCTGTGCTGATTTTCTGAACTTTGTTTCTCCTTCCAATCCCATTTATACTCCCAAACACTTCACTGAACCTCCTTTCTTAAAAGTTACCAGAGACCTGCTAAATAATAAATCCAGTAATCTTTTCTTGATCTCTACAGCTATTTTAGATACTTAGTGTTGGGCATTTCTGTTTTACATCCTCTTTTTTGGCTTCTAGATTCTCGTTACCATTTTTTTTTTTAAATTACCCTCCTGATTCTTTTTCCTCGATGCCTCTTACAAATACCTATATCTCTCCATACCTGGCTTCCATATTAGATGTGTTTTATTAATCAGTAGTGGGCTCAGCAGCATTGGGGAATGCATTCCTCTACACCCCTAATCAAGAAGATGTTAAATATGTTTATGAAAGATTTATTCATATATTCTATTTGTAGAATGTGTAATGTTTGAGAAACTTGAAAATGTGTTACTGGGACGGTTTTCGCTTTTTTTTTGGCTTTTTCATAACACTTTTGCCTTAGGCTTTCTCACTCATGCTCACAGTTTCATCTAGTATGTATAGTTATGATTTGTATCTATTCAAAATCTGTCCTGCACTCTATAAAAATAATTCAGCAGCTTACTGGGCTTTGGTACATGGATATCAGTAGTATATCAAACGTACTATGTCAAAGTCTAAATTTCCTTCTCTTCTTTTTTACCTTCTATTCTCCTGTACCTTTCCATTACTAATTTCTTAAATTTTTAATTATTGATCTTTGGTAATACAACCAGAAATACCCTTCTGAAACACATTCAAATCACATCATTCACTTCCTCAAAAACCAGCAACGATTTAACATGGCCTGAAGAATCAAGTCCAAACTAATTTGCACAGAATTTATGCCTTCCATTATCTATGCTACATTTTTGACTGCATATTTTTCTACCAAATCCGTCTCGCAAACATACTACATTCCAGCCAGGGGTGGGATAAGGTGGCTGAATATTTTTTGCACCACATGCCTTTGTTTATGAAGTTACTTCAGTTTCTAAGGCCAGCTACCAAATTTCTACTTTGAAATTCTATTCATTCCTTAATTCTCAAATGCCACTTCAGTGAAGACATTTTTCAGAGGCACTTGTAGTTAGTTACTCCTTCCTCTGCCTGCATCATGTAGTCATTTCATCCTGCCTTGTTTTATAGGTAGTAGTTAACATATTAATTCCTCCCACCTCACTGAAAGTTCTTCAAAGATAGGAAACATGGCTGGTGTTTCTTCAGTGTTTTGTATGAACATTTTTTGTAGAATTATATTGAATAAAGTTTTAAAGCTGTGAAGTTACACAGTAGAGTTCTTTTCTCTAGCTTTTTGTTTTCTGAGGCACACTTGCCATTTTAGAAACTGAAGTGCCAGCAGTATTCCCATCTAAGTACTAGGGCACTATGCTACAGGAAATAAAAGTAAAATTCTTTGTGACATCATCAAATAAAAATGGAAATGGAATACAGATTGTTAAAGCACGACCTCTAACTTATTATTTCCTTCCAGAGAGACACATCTCAATTCAGAGGCAGCTTGCTGATCTAGAGAAGTTAGTTTTCATAACCGAAGGGGATTTTGACTCTGCCAGTTCATTGAACTCAGATAATCTTGAAACAGGTATTTCCATGTTTGGACAGGTTTTTTTCTCTGAATTTCTAATGGTTTGTCATTTTTCAACCGATGCACAGTTTGCTTAGAATAAAGTTGTTTATTCCCATTGAACTAGAATACTGGTAAAATACAATTTTTTTACTCAAGAAATTGATAGCCTTCTATATGCAAAGGTGCTATGGGATTAAGTTATTTCACAGCTCCTCCAGAAAATTACAATTCACGGATATATAAGAGCTCTGTATTTTGTAAGTTAGGAACTGAATTAGGCTCTAACAGAAATACCCAAAAACAGTGCCTTAAATAATATGGTGACTTTTATTTCTCATATAAAAGAAGTGCCAGGGCAGGCAGTTTAGGGCTAGTACAAGAGATCCTGTGTTGTCACTGCCCAAGCTCCTCTCTTTCTGCTTTACTATCCTTAGTGCTTGGATTCCATCTCAAGAT